AGATTAGTGTAGGATGTCTTATTAATTTTCGAGGTTTTAATAAAAGTTATTAAATATGACCCATTTAAATGAGTTTCATTAACTGTATTTGTTCATTTACAAAAATGGCTCTATCTTGGATTACATCAGTATTTTTATTTTTTTCTCTGATATTTTTACAAAAAGTTTTTCTCCATTTAGTAATCTAATAAAACAAGAACCATCTGGGTTAAGTGTTGCATAATAATAATGTTTTGAAGGTTTTCCCACAACGCATGTTTTCAAAGTGCGTGACCATCATTCCTCAATAAGTACTGTACAAGTTTTATTTATTTCAATCCTTAATCAATCCTAAATTATTATTTCTTTTACTGCGTCTTTCACTGCGATGATGCCCAGATCCCGGAGGATTTTTTTTTTCCAAAATACCAAGGTGCCCCAGTGATAGTTATCAAGATTTTTGATTGTGCGCGCTGTATGATGTCTGTGTTGCTGCCATACGTCCAGATTGGCTTTAGGACTGAATTGTAGAGTAGTAACTTGTAATCTAGGCACGGCGGGGATCGTGAGTTTATGATCCAGTAGGGACTGGTTACTTTTAGTTTAAGGGCCATCTTCTTGAATTCGATATACACCAAGGTACGTTACTTATTAAGCTGGGAGGGATCTGTATACCGGTTAGTGAAAGCGGAGGGCAAGTTTGTCTATTAAGAGTAAACGTTAAATGTTTACACTTTTGTTCGTTTATTTTAATGCGCCAATCGGACAGCCACCTATCAACTTCTATGAGATGCTTAGCGAGTTGGTTTGTTGTTGCGTTGGGCATCTGGAGCGACAATGGATAGCGGTATCTGAAGTACGATGAACTGATTTGATTGCAATGCTTGTTGATTCCAACTGATTGTTGGGTACTGGTATGATGATCGAAAAAGACAATCGAGTCCAACGATGCAAACGAAAACTCAGAAATCGGTCAAGTTGCGTTTGATTTGATTCTGAGTGAAGCAATAAGATCGAGAATTGCCCTGCGAATATGTGTTTGTTTATATATGTGTAGTTTGTTTGCGAATATGTGTGTAATTTGTGTGCACAATTTTGTATGCTGTAATAGAAACAATGCGTTTAATTAACCAAAAAATATTACTTCATTCATTTCTTCATTTTTAAATTTAAATTCAATTAATGCTTAAATTTAATGAGCAAAGGTAATAATTAAAATTAATGAACAAAAGTAATGCTTAAAATATTAGGGAACACAAATTTTAAATTGCAATCACTTCTTCATTGAGATCAAAAACTTAATATTAAAAAAAAAGGTTCACGCGGGTGATGATGATTGAGTTGAATGCAAGCAGCATTCTCAATCATTCTTTGCAGCTCATACAAAACGTTTGATCGAAGAAAATCATGACGAAACAAGCAAGAGTGATTGGCACTGAATGCTCCCTTCTAACACGATGGCTTACGCTCACAATCATTTTTGTTGAGCATGTGTCACATGTCACAACTTTATGTTTACACTTTGTCACAAAAAATCCAGGTCAATGATAGGGTATGATTGAATTGTGATTGGTGCACCTCTCTGGTCCGCAGCATACAAATCATACAGACAAGATCAGAGTGCGCTTCCTTCTGGAACTCCAGCTTCGATAATGTACTCGCCCGAAGTTGCCGATTTTGCCCGAAAATTCCCTGTTGTACTCAAGTAGCTTGATTAATTTTGTGCATGAGTCTATAAAGCTAAACTCAGTCGTAGCTAAGTATACGTGGAGAAAAAAGCGTTACAGTATTCTAGCTGTTCGAAGGCTGAGCGTATTTCTGATATTACTCTGTTCACCTGCTCGATGGTTTTATGGTTTCTTTGGAAGCCACATTTTTGGGATACTATTGCAAGCTTTCAGATATGGTAATTTGCAAGTTAACAAGCATTTTTCCAACAATATAAACAACCAAGATAGTAATCTGTACGATGTCATAATTGTGTGGTTTTCCTCGTCTTCTTCAAATTTTTGGAAATAGCCAAGATTATAAATCGGCTAAAATGGAATAATTTACAGACGACCTCAAAAGCGCACTTCGGAAGTTCGATTAATAGTAGTGGTCGGTAGGTCACCACCGGGAGCCTTTTTTGGTTGTAGCTCGCTTATGACTTTTTCGATTTCGCAGGGCCGGATTAAAGGTGTAGTTGGCAGAGCTTCTGACTGAATAAGTGGTAAGAGGAATGAATTCGAGGCAGGAAGAAACTTTGGAGATTTGGAGCGAATGTTTCAGATCTGTCTTCGTCGATGCGAGCCCAGTTTCCCCAGAAGTTTCTTCAGGAGTTTCAAAAGATTTTGGCTCCCGCACCAAGTACTTCTTCCAGGGCTCTCGTGGCTTGTAGTCGGTATCCGATCCCATATTGAGCTACATAGCGAGTTCATTTTGCAATGTGGGGCAGTAAACGGTAGCGATTGAAAGGCTTCCTTTTCTTGACTGACTACCTGACTACCTCTATATACTACCTAATATATTACCTCTATAGACTACACAGTTAGTCCGAAATGTTCGAGAATCGATTTATTTGTGTTTATTAAGTTATTTTTAATTTATTATGCTAGAGGAGTTAGTAAGAAAATTAAAAAATACTAGATTTTACATTTGAAAGACAGGAAAGATATGTTATAGAGTGGAGACCCTTGTAGTTCGAACATAAGACCCAAAATGGCTCGAGTTGTGCATATGTCGAACTACAATGGCTTAAAATTAGAGGACTAAAGTTTTAAGACCTTCTATTGGGAATGTTAAAATTTAAGCGTGTTAGTAAATGCTGGCTATTTACATTCCTATTGAATAGGTGACGTAGAAAAACTATACCCAGAATTTTTCTGCGCTAAGCTAGGTAAGTTTATTAGTAGGAGTCTGCTACCACAAGGTGGAAGATGGAGATTTGCATGCCCTTGCAGAGGGTAGTATAATTGTGATCAAAAGTGTGCAACGCAGTGAAGGAGACATCTCCGACTCTATAAAGTATATATATTCTTGATCAGGATCACCTCCTGAGTTGATATGAGCATGTACGTCTGTCCGTCTGTCTGTCTGTCTGTCTGTCCGTCTGTCTGTTTCTACGCACACTAGTCTCTCATTTTTAAAGCTACCGACTTGAAACTTTGCACCCACCGTTCTTTCTTTTGCACGCACTATATAAGTCGAAACGGCCTAGATCGGCCTATTATATCCTATAGCTGCCATATAACTGACTAATCGGAAATGCTTTCACTTTGTTGTCTTTTGAGTTAGAGAGTTCGGATTCGGTTAACTATATTCTATATCTTCCATATAACTGAGCAATCGGACACAACTTGTGTTGATGACCCAACGTGTTTTTGAAGATAGCTGAAAGCTGTAACTTCGTACAGATTCTATCTTTGGTCAGTTGATCCGACCTACCAAATTTCATAACGATCGGCCGACTATATCTTATAGCTAAAAACTGTTTTTTTTAAGATGGAAGCCTCGGACTTTTTTATACCCTTGCAGAGGGTATTATAATTTTGTCCAAAAGTGTGCAACGCAGTGAAGGAGACATCTCCGACCCTATAAAGTATATATATTCTTGATCAGGATCACCTCCTGAGTTGATATGAGCATGTCCGTCTGTCCGTCTGTCCTTCTGTCCGTCTGTCCGTCTGTCTGTCTGTCTGTTTCTACGCGAACTAGTCTCTCAGTTTTAAAGCTATCAACTTGAAACTTTGCACACACCCTTCTTTTCTTTGCACGCAGTAAATAAGTCGGAACGACCGGGATCGGTCGACTATATCCTATAGCTGCCATAGAACTGATTGATCGGAAATGGTATAACTTTGGTTTTTTTAGAGTTAGAGAGTTCAAATTTGACATGAAAGCTATTTTTGGCAAAATAATACGACGTGCCGAATTTCATAAGGATCGGCCGACTATATTCTATAGCTGCCATATAACTGAACGATCGGAAATGACCCAACTTTCGTGTTTTTAAAAATAGAAAGCTGGAATTTAATACAGATTCCATTTTTGGTCAGTTGATCCAACCTACCAAATTTCATAAGGATCGGCCGACTATATCCTATAGCTGCCATATAACTGATGGATCGGAATTGACCCAACTTTTGTTTTTGAAGATAGAAAGCTGGAACTTGGTACAGATTCTAGTTTTGGTTTGGTCAGTTCATCTAACCTACCAAATTTCATTAGGATCGGCCAACTATATCCAATGTTTGCGATATATATCCGGTTTTAACTGCAAGGGTATATCAACTTCGGCTCCGACCGAAGTTAGCTTTCCTTTCTTGTTTTGTTTTGTTTTGGAATAAACTGTTTATATTATGACATTCTCATAAGGATTTGCCAACTATATCCGATTTTTGCGATATACTATATATCCGCTTTCAACTAGGTATCCGCAAGGGTCCGCCCGAAGCGCCCGAAGACTTTTTGTGTTCTTCCATCATAGTAGCTGAATATCCACGTAAAGAGGTCTGTAGAAAATCCCAGCATATTCAGTTTACTCAACAAGAGTGAGTGATTGACTGACTCAAATGCTTGGCTAAAGTCTGTGTAAATAACATCAGTTTGAAATCCCTTTCGGAAGCCATAAAATGTCGAAGAAAAACATGTAACGTTAAAATTGTTCGTCAAATTTTTTTACAATCAAAATGACAGAAAAAGAACACCTTAACACATGTATTTGCTGCATACGCCAGATCTGAAAAAAAGCCAATACAATAAGCTTAGGCGTGGCACTCTGTCAACAATTTTTTTAACAGTTGTAATTTTAAAAGCAAAAAAAATGCGTTTATATTTTTATTTATTTGTATTATTTAAATAAATAATTTTTTGTTTTAAAATAATACGAACAAAAAACATTTTCTTTTGTTTTATTAGGCAAAAATATTTAGGGTTTTTTACAACATTAATTTTTTACGATATATTAATTCGTTTGTGGTTGAGCACTTTGGTATGCAATAATATTCAGTTTTATTGGATGACTAAAACTATTCTTAATTTTTATTTTTATATATGTATGTATATGTTAAGACTTATATTTACAAAACTCTAAAAAATGTAACGTCAAATGGAAATAACAATAATGCAACAATTATCCTTAAATATTTAATATAAGTAATACATTTTAAATAAATCATATATTTTTTTTTAACGAAAAAGTTTAATTATTACAGATAATCGACATGAAAAAATTGAATTCGCCTTATGTAGAGTAGTTTATAGATGAAAAATTTTTTATTATTATTTTTATTAATACTACTTTTATTATACTATTAATATTATTGCATTTCATTTCATTTTCGAAACTACACACATTTTATTGTGGTGTGATTTTATGCCCATTCTCTACCGTCTTTGCACAGTTGCAGTTTTTGTCTTCACTACATAATATCTTTTGATTTTGTTTCTGGACGTGTTCAATGCGCGACTTATATGTGTATAGAGATTGTAGGGGCACATGTAAAAGCTCCACGATTTGCGTGAAGTCTAAAACTGTAATAATTGAATGTAAAAAATTTTATATATTTTTTTTTATCGAAAAGTTGTATTATACATACCATCGTCTGCCGTTATATGGCCATGACGTATAAGGAAGTCAATTACTACCGGCGCTGAGGTAGTTTTAAAATCTGGCGTAAAGAGGCGTTCCACACACTCCCTGGCTGGAAGCAATTCAAATGCTTGAACCTCTCCGTCTGCATTATGAGGAACAAAATCTAATGGCAGCTCCAAGTCAAATACATATTCAGTATTTGGAAAAAGACCTTGACGACTTTCAAAATAAAACGAGACACATCCAGCCGATACTAAGTTTTTTACTAAATCTTTTGGAATGGATGCTTCCTCAGCAGCTTCCTTGATTGCAGTCTCTTTAATGCCAAACCCCACTGAAAGCCCTCCACCTACCATATTATCCCACTTGCCAGGCCATGTTTCCTTTGTATTGGACCTTTGCTGAAGCCAAATGCACAGTCCCTGGGTTGGATGCCTAACATAGCCATTTATGTCGACACCGTACTTGCGCACTCCAAATAGTGGCGTAGCTGCACGTTCCATTTTCAAGAGTGCCTTGTGGTCGGATTTTACTTCAAAATACTCGTCACGCCAACCCTGTAAAGCTGGAAATAATCCATTTGAGCGAAGGTCACGTAACACCTTTTCAAGTTGTTCACTGCGTTCGTTATAATCCCGAAAAGCTGGATTGAGTTCGACTAAACCCTAAAGAAGTAAAAAAAATATTTATTTTACAAAGAATGTAAAATATTTTTACAATTAAGGGGAAATAGGGTTGTTTAATTTTTTTTCTAGAAAAAATGGCAAAATAAGTCAATGCCTGTAATATTTGTAAAGCGGCTAAAAATAAAAGTAATTTTCTGTGCCCATCATATCTCAATCATTATAGATAACGAGAAATTCAAAAATCAAAATGTTATTGTATATTGCAACATTGTAAAATAATCAAATTGCCCAGGTACCCATTGGTGGATTTTCCGAAATTGTAGTGCTAAAAATGCATCTAAGATTTGACCTTCTAAGAAGTTTTTGTGACATTAGGAATTTATTAGAATGAACAAAGAATCGAAACAAAAAAATTGTAACAACCCTACTCCTCCCTTAAACAGATTGAACTAACTGAAACAAACAAAGTTTGGTACAATTTTCTAAGTGACATACCTGTTTAGTTTGTTCGCAATCTCTTATGCAAAATACTTCAGGATATTTTACAAGTTGTTTAAGAACATCAGATTTAATCAGACCAACTTGTTGACCCTCAACCACAAAAGGACGAGTATCGCCTTTGTTGAAACCTGTTTCGGTGATATTCAAATTTTTTTTTTATTTTTTATTATGTACCTCAAGTTTAAGTAAAACAAGAAAGAACGGCTTTAGTCGAGTTTTCCGACTATATTATACGCGGTACTCATCTTTTCTACCCACAGTTTGAGTAACCTTTAATGTTTAAACTTTAACGGTATGGATTCTCAGCAACAAATTAATGTTGCTGACAACAACAAACCTACGGCCATACTACCGATTCAAAAGGGGAATCAGACGGGTGTTTGCAATAAAACATTTTCCGAAAACATTAACAAACTGGCACTTTCATTAGATTTCTGCTTCGGGGGTGAGAGTGGCATAATTTTGATACAAACTTGATCGGCGCTGTACCACGTGTTCATACCGACAGACGGACATCGCTATATCGACTCGGTTGTTGATGGTGATCAAAAATATAAATATATGTTCTTTATGAGGTCGGAGATGATTCCTTCATTATGTTACATACATTCACACGACTACAATATACCCTTGTAGTCTACGAGTACCAGGAATAAAAAGTAAAATATAGCATACGTTTAATAATACCAGTACTATACCTTTACCAGTAATAATCTTCGTAAGGACTTTGAACTTTTTCTTTCTTTTATAGTTATTATTTTTTAAATTTTCTTTAATTGTAATATTTTTCTTTAATTTTACAATTGTAAAATTGTTTAATTTTTCATTATGTCCGGCTAATAAAATTTTAAAGTCCGTCCGGCAATTTGTCAATTTGTAATAGAATGCAATTAAAAATAACAATAATAAAGTAAATATGAAAAGTAAAAAAAAAAATTTTAATAAAAAAATAAAAGTAAATATAAACATAAGACTAAAACTTGAAACAAACGCCCAATAATGAAATCGAACTCAGAACCCCAAGAATAAGGAGCGCGCACTATCCATCTAGGCTCCCCTCGATGTTGATTTGATGATACTTAAAATTGGTTTTAACCCCTTGACGTATTTCCACGAGTCTCCCTCGTTTTCTATTCGTTTTCATGAATAACATTAGCTACATCAAACGATGTCAACTCCAGTAAATTAATAGTGGTGGAGCGTAGTTTCAATTAAACAATTTTTCAATTAACTAATTGCTAGCATGAAAAATTCCTTCCATTAAGCGGAAAAATCGAGGAGGCAGAGGAGGAAAAGATAACTGTTTACGCTTAGTGTTTTCAAAGTTATAAAACTGCTTTGTATCCTGAGTAAATTGTATCTGACAGCGGGGAAAAAAACACTGCCGTTCGTTTAAGAGGAAGTGGAAGCAGCGACATTTATTATGGACACTGCAATAACGAAACATCAATACTTGCTTATTCGCTAATTCGAAAATAGTGAAACTTCTTAATACGTATTGCCAAGCTATCCAAAGGACATAACAGTAGATGAAACATATGCACAAGTGAAGTTGCAGATTCTACTATACAATACAGCTATTAGTATTTTACAGGTACAAAAAACTGAAATTGAAAACTGTCTTAATGACAATTCTCCGTACTTATTAACATTAATTGGCGGGGCACAAAGAGTTTTCAAATTGGCTTTCAACAAAACTTTTCATGATAGATGTCTTTTTCCAAGGAGATGTTTTATTTTTTTAAAAGGAGACCCCCTACAATCCGTTGAAGAAGAATTTTATATTAAAAGTAAAATAGAGAACCTACCTACCGCCTACCGAATTTAAAATTGCCAATAAGAAATTACTCATAAATCATAGCCTTCAATTTACTATGGTATGAAATCTTTTATATGCGAAAGAATTCAAGCGGAATTTCGCGATGAAATGGGAATAATTGTTGATACGTCTAGAGACGGAGGAAAAGGAACTTGTAACGATGGAAATACTGCTGAAAATTTTTTATCACATTCGATCAGCAAATCTTATTTTCTGTCCTTTTTTCTCCAAGAATAGCTTATTATCTGATCTTCCAAGGGTCAAAGCGATTTATTCGCCAGGCCCCGATGAAGTACTGTGTGCTGTGTGCTAAGATGCAGTGCCAGGGCTCTGTGCAAACCTCTTCTTAGACTTTTTTAACTTATCTTTGGAAACCTCGATTTTTCCTCTTAAGTGGAAGGAATTTTCCATAATTCCCCTACATAAAAAAGGGGAAAAGTCCGATGCTGCCAACTACATAGGCATCTCTAAATTGCCTACAATTCCAAAGCTATTTGAAAAATTAATTACTCCTCATTTGCAACAACTTTGCTCTTCGATCATCTCTCCATGTCAGCTTGGCTTCATTAAGCGTCACACCACCACCACAAAATTAATGGAGTTCATTTGTCAGTACTGGAGTACTGGACATCCTTTGTCATAGATGGCTTTCGAAGATGTAATCTGTCTGACAGATGTTATTTACACAGACTTTATCAAAGAATTTGATACAGTTAATCACTTACTCTTGTTGAGTAAACTGAATATGCTGGGATTTTCTACAGACCTCTTAACTTGGATCTCCAGCTACTTAGATGGAAGGACACTTTTGGTCCGTGCTACATCTGGAGTCCTCAAGGAAGTCATCTTGGCCCGTTATTATTTACTCTTTTCATAAATGACTTGCCCCCTGCTTTAACGAACTCTCTAGTTCTTATGTTACTAATTGTCACTTATGTTCTAATTTGTCTTCAGTACAAACCCATCTGTGCCCAATGCAGTCTTCAGTCTAACCTTGAAAACTTTCAAAAGTGATATTTAGCTAATGATTTAATACTTAATGGATCAAAATGCAAGCTTATGTCTTTTTATCGTTCTCGCCCTCGGCAGGCTACGTATACTCTTTATGGGATTGTCTTAGAGAAATTAACTTAGTTTAATGATCTCGGCGTCCTATTAGACACTAAACTTAAATTTTTCGACGATATTTCCTCAATGGTTAATAAGGCTAAGTCCTTGGTTTCATGAAAAGGTGGTCAAAAGAATTTAACTACCTCTACATAACTAAAACCTTATTCATTTCTTTGGTCCGTCCGATACTGGAGTACGGTTCATGTGCCTGAAGTCTCCAATATGGAGTACATCAAAACCGCATAGAATCCGTACAAAAGAATTTTTTTACTTTTTTACTTAGAGGTCTGAGCTGGGATGCAAATCTTCCCCTTCCATTTGATAATAGTAGAATCTTACTAATAAACTTACCTACATAGCTTAACAAATCGTAGGACAATGCTCGGTGTAGTTTTTCTGCATAACCCTAATGGGGTTAAAGATAGCGAGCATTTACTGACACGCTTGAATTTTAACATTCCCAAATAGAAGGACTTGAAACTTTAGTCCTCTGTTCCTTAGCCATTGTAGCTCGACATATGAACAGCACGACCCTTTTAGGGTCTTATGTTTGAACTACAATGGTCTCTACTCTATAACATATTTTCCTGTCCTCTAAATGTCAGATATAGAGTTTTAAATTTTCTTCCTAACTCCTTTTAGTTTAATAAATTACAAATAGCTTAACATATACGAATAAATCGTCGTCTGGGGCTCTAAGCTTTATAATGAATACAGGAATGCTAGCTTATGCTCTAATTGATACACTTGTTGGAATATCTTACACTGCCGCAGCAGCATTAAAAATGGCGCATCCCTGGCCCGAGATAAACACTACTCTTTTGACAACATAGCCCAGGTAAAGGATGAGAACCTACCCCTTATAAAGTGGCCTCTAGGCAGCTGATTCCTGGGCGTGACTGATTGTACCGGGTAGCCGTACTCAAGACATAAATGTCGAAACAAGCTGTGACTGCTGCCCCTCAAGGACTCTGTTAAAGGCCCAGACTACAGTTGGAGGAGGATATGGAGACACGCAGCCAAGAGGAAAAGCTGATTAAAACAAGAAAGGAAAGCTAACTTCGGGCGTAGCCGAAGTTTATATACCCTTGCCGCTAAAACCGGATATGTATCGCAAACATCGGATATAGTTGGCCGATCCTTATGAAATTTGGTAGGTTGGATTAACTGACCAAAAATATAATCTGTACCAAGTTCCAGCTTTCTATCTTCAAAAACACAAAAGTTGGTTCATTTCCGATTGTTCAGTTATATGGCAGCTATAGGATATAGGCGGCCGATCCTAATGAAATTGAGTAGGTTGGATCAACTGACCAAAAATAGAATTTGTACTAAATTCCAGCTTTCTATCCTCAAAAACACGAAAGTTGGGTCATTTCCGATCGTTCAGTTATATGGCAGCTATAGGATATAGTCGGCCGATCCTTATGAAATTTGGCATGTCGTATTATTTTGCCAAAAATAGCTCTCATGTCAAATTTGAACTCTCTAACTCTAAAAAAAACCAAAGCTATACCATTTCCGATCAATCAGTTATATGGCAGCTATAGGATATAGTTGGCCGATCCTTATGAAAATATCATAATAAAACCAATTAATTACAATAAAAAATCAAGAAAAAAGTCCCAAGCTTCTATCTTGAAAAGTACCAAAGTTGGTATTTCTACCAAATTCATTTCCGATCGTTCAGTTATACTGCGTGCAAAAGAAAGAAGGTGTGTGCAAAGTTTTAAGTCGATAGCTTTAAAACTGAGAGACAAGTTCGCGTAGAAACAGACAGACAGACGGATATCAACTTAGGAGGTCATCCTGATCAAGAATATACAATATACTTTATACGTCGGAGATGTCTCCTTCACTGCGTCAAAATTATAATACCCTTTGCAAGGGCATGCAAATCTCCATCTTCCACCTTGTGGTAGCAGACTCCTACTAATAAACTTACCTAGCTTAGCGTAGAACAATTCTGGGTGTTGTTTTTTTACGTCACCTATTCAATAGGAATGTATATAGCCATCATTTACTAACACGCTTAAATTTTAACATTCCCAATAGAAGGTCTTGAAACTTTAGTCCTCTATTTTTAAGCCATTGTAGTTCGACATATGCACAACTCGAGCCATTTTGGGTCTTATGTTCTTACTACAAGGGTCTCCACTCTATAACATATCTTTCCTGTCTTTCAAATGTAAAATCTAG